AAAAGAAGAAGAAGAAGAAGAAGAAGAAAATATTGCTTTTACATCTTAAGTCTTAAAGATGGGACAATGAGGTGATAGAATTTTGCTTTGAATGTCATTTATGAAGTTTAATGTTTGTAACTATCTTTGAATGAGAAAAAGATTTAGTTTCAAAGTAAAGGCATTAAGATCAGATGTAAAAAGAAAAAGAATATAGCACATCTAGTAGGTAGAGAGTGATTTGAGGAGTTCCCACTTCCATAGCTTTGGCATGGGTTTCATCAAATCAAAATTTGACCCCTATCATATGAATTTTCCTTGATTGATGCGTGTTATGGTTAAGTGGTTGAATTTATAATATTATATACACTTCTAAAGTACTTCGTACACTAAATACAAAAATAAAATTTAAAATAGGTTGCATCCTTATATTTTTTTATTTTCTCATTTATTTAAATTTTTATAAGTTAAAGAAGGTTTTTAAACTCATTGCTCAAATCTCTAAATATAAAAGATTTTCTCATTTGTTGAGTTTTAAACCTATGTAATCTTCCTCTCCACATCTTTCTCCCAAAGGTCGAACTTACCATGTCTTATAAAAAATAAAAAAAAAAAGGGAACTTATGAATCCATCAAAGTCTAAATTCATCTTAAAATCAAGAACTTAACCCTCACTCCTCTCGGCAAAAACCAACATTTAGCCCTTGACCTTACAAAGTTGGTAGGTTTTAATCCCTTATATTATAATATTTTTAGCCTCTCATCAATACGAATTAAAGAAAATAGCCCTCACGTAATATCAAGTTATAACGTTCTGTTAGTTCTATTAGTTGACTGTTAACATCCGTTAGCATTTCGTTATAAAAAACATGAAATTTAAATTCAACTTTATTTGTTAGTTTCATTAACGGAATGTTAACAGATGTTAACAGTCAACTAACAAAACTAACAGTCAGCTAACAAAATTGACCGTCAACTAACAGTCAACTAACATAACTAATTGAACATTATAACCTGATGTTAAATAAGAGTTATTTTCTTCAATTCGTATAGATAAGGGGCTAAAAGTGTTATAATATAAAGTGAGAAGCTAAAACCTACCAATTTTGTAAGGTGAGGGATTCAAATCTATCAACTTTGTAAGGTAAAAGGATAAAAGTATCATATTATAAGGTTAGGAGCTAAAACTTACTAATTTTGTAAGGTAAGAGGCTAAAAGTTGGTTTTAGCCCCCGCTAAATAAAAAAAAAACAAATCAAGTTGTCATCCACTAACCTCATGAACAACTCTATGAAAGAGGGACAAAGAAAGCCTAAGAGAAAAAAGTGGTTTTGTTTGAGAGTCCCGAGTCCCAAGTTCAATAATTCAACCTCTCATCGGTGGACCAATTCATAATTGTTCCCCATATATACAAAAACATGCTAGATTTGTAGGCTGGGAGGGGGGGTCACCTGAATACTTTCTTCATCACCCGTTTCTTGCTACATATACATAATCATCTCTGGATGCCTCACTGCTTCAATCTTCATGCATGTCTGGATTCCATGCAAAAGTTATGACCAGTTGACAGGGTCAAATAATAACTAACATTTTTGTGCATGTCATAAAGGCTGCAATGGTGAAAAACTTACATCTCCAGTGAATATAAAAGTTAAAACCATTGTCTTCTTGTTATAATTGTACAATGTTCAGAAAACCAGACAATGCAGAAGCAGGTCCTTAATTATTAGTATATATATATTGAGGAATATGATTATGACTACAATCTTTAGAAGGAAAGAGTTTTTTAAGATATTAAAAAGGTGTTTTACAGTTCAAGTTAACTCATAAAACCGTTGCTATCATATATGGGCTCTTGTTGTGAAGGTGGGTCTCCTGATAGTTGTAGTTTTGCAGTCTAGATTATGTACTGCAAAACCTTGCCTTGTTCAAGTATATATATATATATATATATATATAAGCCTACTGGTTTTTCCGATGCTGCCTGCCATGCACATGTGCTCATGCAGAGATTGATTGGCCCATGGGTTTAGTTGAGCAACTCCTGGCAGTTGGCACTTTGTAATTTTATGCATTTATCATGTCTCTAACAATCTCCTTTCTGGGCTTCCAGTCTACTAAAGTTGTGCAGAACTGGGGTTTTAGTGCTGAATTACTTAGTGTCTTTGTTGGGGCCAATGCTGATTCTGCTGTACGATTTCCAGCAAACAAACCCCCGATCATAGTTCGGTTTTCACTTGAGCACTTTTTTAATTATCAATTTTTTCTAAACAAGTACAAATTTAGGAGAGCAGATTGGAGCCCAGCATATAAGATTGAGAGTGCATCTCTTTTAAATGTTTATAACTAATTAACCTTCTAG